GCTACCAACTTAACAAAAAAAAAAGTGCTGAAAGACATTTATATGACAACTTCCGGAAACTTTCTGGTTTTAACGCATGCAATTAAAGACATAATAGAATTTTTCCTAAAATAAATTTAATGAATTTTTAATTAAAGTTACTTTGTTACATGCTTTTGAAAGTACTATAGAAAATATTTTAAGCTTTAATTTGCTTACTTTTTAAATTCCAAAAATATGAATAAATGGCTTACGCAAGAAATACAAACATTTTTACTACTTTTCCATGACATATCATACAATTTTTGGGGGTGTGAAACCTAACCCCACACAATAATTTAATAGAGAATTTTCTTGCATTTTTGGATTATTTAGTACTGGAAGGAATTTCTTTACTATCAATACGGAAATATATAACAAAAGGATATAGTAATCCCGTAAGACTGCGAGTGTAGTTGAATAAGTCTTAGCTTTCTTTCTTGATCTTCTATGCATTGCATGCAATTTATTTTTAGTGAATCGATATTCTCTATTGTAACGTACCCGGTTTTACGGTTTATAGCTGGGCTATCTCTCAGCCAGATTATGGGTCTCTCCTATAATCTAGATTTACAAAAGCGTAAGAAAAGGACAGCACGAATGGTTCTACGTTACACAAGTAGCTTTATTTTCAAACGTTCTACTGGCAGCGTTTTCACGTCAGTCGTATATCTCTATTGGCAGCGTTTTCACGACACACCATATACTTCTATCTACTCCTATTGGCAGCGTTTGCACGTAACACCATATATTCTAACTACGACAGCACAAACAGAAGTGTCGTATCACTGCTGATGCTGCTCCTTTTATACTAAATTTTCCTACAGGTGGACAGTTATGCACTGCCTTTTGTTGGTAGGCCTATCGCCTGTTCTCCTTTGCCCTACTTAACAGCGGCGGCTCGCTACGCTAGTGCCTAGCTCGCTTCGTGCTGTTTTGAATTGAGTAAGTAATTGGAGAGTAAAGTCCTCTCTGAATGAAGGAAAATCAAACTCTACAAGTCATACATCATTTTCTTCCTGCTCTATACTGCAGAGGCCTGGACGATAACAATATCTAATGCGTCAACATTGACAGTTTTCGGAAGAAAGACTTTGCGTTTGCCTGTTGACAATGGCAACGCTGGCTCGGCTATGTGGTACGATTGTATGAGAACACTCCAGCTTTGAATGTTTTTGATGCAATTCCTACCGATAGAAACAGAGAAAGAGGAAGATCTGCACTTCGTGGGAAGGATCGAATAAATAAGGGCCTAGCTGTCGTTAGTATTTCCGATTGGGCCCAAGTAGTAAAGAGAAAAAATGCATGACGCGCTGGGGTTAACTCGGCTGTAATAGCCGAAGGAAAACTCCAATTTATTCATGGTTTCTATATACAAATTTTCCCAACAAAATTTTAAAATATCTTTTATATGCATCTGCAATTAACTGTTATTTTGCATTTAAATAAATTTTCAAATGGTGACATTGACATAAAAATTTCCCTCTAATTGCTCTGAGTACAACCAATCATTTTTGGGGATAATTGCAACTTCCGATTGACCACCTAAAATGTGCTTAATTCGATATGAAGCTTTTAATATTTTAAAACTATAATGAGTTTGTTTATATGTGCTACCAAAAGTAACCCCTTCTGTGTGTTCACTCGCTTTTAGGGTTAATAACAAACCGCTTTTTATTTCACTGCTTTGCTAAATTAAATTAAATTAAATTCAACGAATAAATTGCCATCAGCACATAGACACACTAACACACACTCACATTTCACACTTCACACCTCGCACGTGTCAGGACGAGCCCCAAACTCTATAAATATATATACATATATATATCTATATACATATATGCACACACATACGCGTCATAAAAGTAAGCTAATACTCCTTTCAGAGCAACTGCATTAGCACTCAGTCTGTGTGTATGTGTGTATTTGTGTGAACTGATGTGAATGAACATACTCACATACATATATACATACATATGTACATATGATACACGTGAGGTAACAAAGCAGAAATATTTTCATTACTCGTACATAAACTACAAAGTGGGGAAACCACTAATAACCACATGAATGGCATTCATTCACTTTGCACATACCACTTGACTGAGCCCGAGCGTAACCTATGGTTTATATACGTGTATATATATATATATATATATATATACATACTATATGTGTGTGCTTTTTGTGTAGTTTCTTTGTGTGCTCACATTGAAGAGTATTGACACTTCCGCTCTAATTACTATGATTTTTATATATTTTGCCATAAAACCATATAAAAAGAGAAAAAAAAAAAAATCAAAAACAAAAAAGGAAATTGGAAAAAAAAAACAAATTCAATATAATATTGTCGTTTAGGTTGCTGGGGCTATTGATTGAAAATGACAATCAAGTGTCTCGTGTGGTGCATTACCCTGCGGCAAGTAGGCTGCCGGTGTGTCTCATCTCTTGACGCTCGCTCGCCCGAGTAACCCCAAAATAGAGCGTTGACCAAGTCGTGTGCCATGAGGCGATTATATTTTTATACCCCATACACATGTGTGTGTATGTGTAATTGTAAGCAGGTAATGTTCGTGCATGTGTGTGTCTAATAATGTAGCTTTGTATGTTTATAAATATATATTTTGGCTCTCACGTGCTGTTCAAAGTGATATGAAAGCACTTGTGTCTTTATGTACGAGTATATATGTGTGTGTGAGTGTAATTTTATAAGCTCTATTGCGGTTAGTGTTGGATATCAAAGCAGTTGGGTGCCTTGGCGTTTAAGTTATTGTGTTTAGTGAGCATTCACACATATGTGACTATGTAACGTATCATTACACAAATATATATATATATATATATATATATATATATATAAATATATAAATATTGCTTGGAAAATATTTGTTATCCTTTGTCTAGTCTTTAAAACCACATTAAACTGATAGTGTTTATACTTGGTGGTTTTGGGAGAGTAAACTTTTTGGGCCATAGTAGTTCGATAATAACGGTATTTATGTATAATACCACTCAAAAGCATTATAAAACATTTTTTTTTTTTTTTTTTTGATTTTAATAAGAATGCAACCAATGCATTCAATTATTTTCGCAAGTAATATTATAATGCATTATAATAAGGATGGGGCCAGGAGGTTCATGCAAGTGAGGAAAGTTTTTAATTGCCACAAACGATTCTTTTACATTTGATTCAAGCAGCACACAAGTCCCGGCTTTAAGCGAGTTAAAGTGAGAAAATGACCTCCTGTGAGCTTTTAAAATATATTCAAAAAAAAAAAAAAAAAAAAAAATCATAAAAAGGCCACAATGATGACCCCCTGAAATCGTTTTAAAGATCACCATCCGGTCGCTTAAGCAGGAAGGTGCTGCTGCACAGCTGGTTGATGTCCTCGTAATACTGAAGGCTGACATCACCGCCGTCCAAGAAGTGCGATGGACGGAATAAGGACGAAAAAATGTGAAATCTATTACAGAGGTCTCATTGAGAAGCGCGAATTTGGTGTTATCACCGAGTACACTTCAGTGGTCACAACTCACATCAAAGCGAAATTTTGCAACATTTCGCTGATTTTCGCCCACACCCCGACGAAAGTGATGGTCGATGGACCTAACATCGACTCTGATCAACTTCTTGTCGCAGCGAAAATACGCATCAACAAACACAAGGAAGGTTCGACGTCGTAAAGCTGCGATCACTCGAACAGTTTTCTATTCGATTTGTCTCCTGCTTTCTGAAAACAGTCATCATTAACTCGATTGGCTTTCGAAAGTGCCAAAAGAAAAAAAGAACTGGTGCGATAAGGTACTGAGCTGTATTTGAGTGATAACGGACAGCCGACTTCGCAACCTTGGATAGGCTTCAGAAGCTCATGAAGAAAGCAAGATGTACTTGCTGACAAAAAAGAAAGTGACCGAAATGCGTGAGTATGAAGAGCTTGGGAAGCTGGTCAACAAGTGTGATGCTCGAAAATTCTACAGAAAGATACTCATACGGCGATCCACAGAAGGTAACAAGGACCACCCTTTACATCATCATCATCATTATCATTTTCGCAAAATTGCTTGGACTGTAACCCCGAGCTGAAGTTTTCTATCCCCAAGCAAAGGCGCAACCTAATTTTTAGTTAGAAATAGTTTCATTTGAAGCTGTTCCGAACATTATAATTATTTTGACGCTGGGTCAAGACCTATCTCCATCTGGAAGTGGCTTACAAAAATAGAAGAAGATCTTTTAATTAATTTTTTTTACATGAAGTTCTTTTGCCTGTTTTTTTTTTAGAAAAGGAATTTTTAAGCCGTAAATGTAAGTTTACAAATTATTATTAAAATATTCAAATAACATTTTCATGCAAACATTTCTGAGCATTCACTTGCGCTTTAATAATGTCTACATAAGTAGCCATTTTATATTAAAAAAAAGAAATAAAAATTCTGGAAAAACACTTGAGGCAGCATTCGCTTACATCAAGGTCCATAGAAAAAGTGTAATCCAATGAATTCGTTCGTAACTCTAAGACATGAGCGGCCTTAAGCAGGCGAACGTATTCAAGTAACAAGGACACGCTTGTCACACTGTCGTGTCGTATGTTGTACGCGCTGCAATGCAAGAGCAATGCGTGTAGGAGCATAAAAAATGAGATGAAAAAAAAAACGAAAATCTAACAACAAAAAGCAGTCAGCGTGCTTAATTTTATTTTATTTATGTTCGTATTAGCAAACATCCGAATGTGTACGTACATATGTCTGCATGAGCGCCAGCGACTAGTCTAACATGTGAAGGTTGCGACTGCAATACATACGTGTATATACCTACTTATTGTGCAAGCACTTACAGTAATATACGTACTTACGCAGCATGTGTATGTATAATAATAGAAACTCAAACGCAAGTATTTAACAACAAAAACAGTATACTTAAGTATTTCTGCTTTGTATGTATGTATGCATGCAAGTATACAGTTCAAATGGCATGTACTTACACGGTATCGCTGGCGTTGAGTCGTGCGGATCCGGCTGGTAGCCCTCCTTGGGGAAGTAGTCGATTTTTATGCAGTTGTACGTCTCGACTCCTAATTTATTGTGTGCGATTTTCAGTGCAGTTTGTGGGGTTCTCCCCAACGCATTTGTATTTTAGCAGTGTTTTTATTTCATTTTATTTGCATTGTTGTTTTTGTTGTGTTTGCAATTTGTTGTCGTTCATGTCATTATTTTATTATTATTGCATTGTTAGTGGAATTGCACAAGTACGTACAGTTAAACGGTATTCATTCATTTGTGAGTACCGTTAGTGTAATTTTTGTTTATTTGTTTTTATTATAATTTTTTTTCGACGAGTTGTTTGTAGTTGTTTCCAAAAAATGAAAGTGCAGGAAGAAAAAAATCAAGCAGAATTTATATATATTTGGTTTTATTTAATTGTATGGCAAATAAAAATACCTATATATATATATATATATATATATATGTCAAGTTTCTTATATTTTGATGTGTTTTATAAATAAACGATTGATGTAGTGATAAAGAAAATATATTTGAATGATTATCAAAAATATATTCTTTAATTTAAGAGTTAGCAGCGCCTAAAAGTATGCTTCAATAATAAATAAAAATGCTGTATTAGCTGCCAAGAAATAAATTCAGTTAATTTTATGCGTTAAGATTAAATCGAATTGTATTATTTTTGAGTTTAAGACCACTTTTAGGAAGAATACTGTTTTTGTCTTTCAAAATAAACGACTTTAAAATTCTCTACGTTGCTTGCATATTACATAACCCTTTTATTGAAGCATTTCACAGAATATTTAATAATACACCAACCAAAAGAAAAATGAAAACCAGTAAACATCTCATGTTTTTTAATTACTTTACACCGCATGCATAACGGTTATTGTGTCAACGATCCTTTGCAGCCGAAGAAATTAATCAGTTGCACAACAACAACAATTGCAATGGTGTGAAGACTGAGACAGCTTATCATAAATGCAATTAAGTGTGCAATTATTAAAAGGAAAACCACGAAAACGGCAATTTGCATTAAAGCACAGACAAAATAATTAACATCAAGTGCATTAAGAAGCGCTTCAGTCGTTCTTTACAGACACAATTGCATATATACGAATACAATTGATGTAAGCTTTTTTACATACCTCAGGTAGGCTTATAATCGTATGTAAGAATGTGTGTTCGTGTGATTTAATTACTTTCCTTACAATTGTTATCACATAGTTAACGGCTGCCAGAGTGCTTGTCATTTTAGTGGTAATTTTGCGAACCATAGCTAGGCATTATGAAATTTACTTAAATTCATTTAATTAATTAATTTAAAAATTAAACAACGCGTTTTGGCGGCGTAATTCAGTAAAAAGCGAATCTGAGAAAATTCCTATCCAGCATTTCGATATCTTCCGTGCCAATTACTTCTTTAAAATTAATTAATATTTCCATTTTTTTAATTTTTCATTTATTTCAATTTATTTTAGGTTTTATTTCATTATTTTTTTTGTCTTTTTTATATATAATTTTTATATTATATAATTTATAATTAATTTTATTTAAATATTTTTATTTTTTTTAAATTTTTTAATTTGACCTAATTGAAGTTAAAGTTATTATTTTATAATATTATATTTAATGTTTTTAAATTTTATTAAGTTTCAATATTTTTTCAATCTGATGTTATGTGGTTTTCTTTTACATTTTTTTAAATTATTTTACTAGAGCTTTTTAAGTTTTTTTAATTGTATTTGAACTCATTTTATTATATATAATTTTTTATTCATTTAACAATATTCTATTTAATTTTAAATCATAATTTTATATTTATTTTTATAAAAAGTTTTGCCTTTTTTGCTTACGCTGTTTTTTCCAAAATTAAAAGCTTTATTGCGAAAGAGTGCTTACAGATATATTATTCAAGGTATTGCTTCGCTAGCGACAACTTTTTCCCATCTTTCCGGCAATTTTCGGATCTCGGCTCGAAAAAAGGAGTCCTCTTTTGACGCTATCCATGAAGAAATCCATTTTTCCAATTCTTTGAAGGATTAAAAATATTGATCTGCCAAGCCGTGTGCCATTGAACGGAATAGGTGGAAGTCAGAAGGGGCGACATCTGGGGAATACGGCGGGTTGGGCAAGACTTCCCATTTCAGCGTTTCCAGGTACTTTTTGACCACTTTTGCACGTGAGGCCGAGCATTGTCGTGTTGAAGGATGACCTTGTCATGTCACTCTTAATATTGTGGTCGCTTTCCTTTTTAGGCCCAGGGCCTTAAGACGTTTTGAAATGGCTTGCTGACTCATTCCCAACGATTCGGCAAGCTGTTCTTGGGTTTGGCACGAATCTTCATCAAGCAATGCTTCTAGTTGTTCATCTTTGAAGATTTTTTTCTTCCACCACCATGTTTGTCTTCAACATCGAAATCACCATTTTTAAAACGTTGAAACTACTCCCGACACGTTCTTTCACTCAGAGCAGCATCACCGTAAGTTTCTGAGAGCATTCGATGCGCTTCAGCTGCATTTTTTTTTTGAATTGTAATAGAAAAGTAAAACTTCCCACAAATGGCGAGAATTAGGCACATAAAGGACATTTTCGGGCAAGAATAATACGAAAACAAGAACAACTGTCACTGCAACGGCGATGACAATTCGTTAGGCACTGTCCGCACTCACTTTAAAGGCATTATCATCTATGTATTTCAACCAGCCTCAGCCGGTACAGCCACCTATCGGAAAACGGCGGAGGCAAAGTTGTACACCTGATAATTCTTTATTTATTTTATTTTATTTAAATTAAAGTTATTTTTTTAAATTATTCTATTTATTGACTTTACGATTTTTTTACTTTAAATATATATTTTTTTTGATCAGATATTATTTTATTTTTTAATTTTTTTTACTCAATTTTTTTAAATTTATTTTATTTTATATTATTTTATTTCATTTAATTTTTTATTTATTTTATTCTATTTAAATTCTTTTTTTATTTCCATTTCTTATTATATTTTTTTTCTTTTTATTTTTACTTAACTAATTTAATTTAGTTTAGTTTTTGTTTTTATTGAAATTTTTAATTAAATTTAATATCAAAATTTCAACTAAATGAATTATATTTAAATGAATGCATTGCTGACAGGACGTGCCAATATTTCTAAGCCGTCAACAGTCGTTCGCCGGCGAATTGACGCAACCAAGAACGATTGACTTTTAGTTTTGCTACTTTTAAAGTTGATTCTAATTCCGCTGTAATCGACTGATGCTGCAGTGATTGCGCATTGGCAACATCGTCGGAAGTGAAGTGAAGAAATGAAGTTTGTGCAACTTGATAATACATTTTTCATTCTTCTTCTTCTTCTTAGTTTTGGTGAAATGTTATCTATGGAAAAAGTTTTAAGTGCCGCGAATTCATCAATTTCCAATTCAAATTCTTCCTCACTTCTCGGAATGCAAGCATATTTAATTTGATTTATAAACTTGTTTTGTAGCGATTTAATTTTGATGTGGCAATAAGTGGAGTTCCTTCTTGGAGTTAAGCGAATGAGTGAAGAGTTTCTATCTTTGATAAATTTCGGGAGAACAGTGTTGTGCTTGGATTGTCAGGAGTATGCAACAACAAAAACTGGCTCCAAAATTGAAAACAAAATTTTTAGAAATAAACAATATAAACCTAATGCTTGAAGTGGCTTCACAAATCTATTTTCCATTGGTTGTCATATGCATGAAAAGTGTGCAACAAATTCAAAAATAACAAATTTCGTTTGTTGGTTGATATTTTGGTGGTTTCTGCAGTAGGAAATATTATCTACAGCACAAAGCGTTGGAACTTGTTTTTTTATTGATTTGATTTGAGCGCACCAATAAACTGCTACTTCTTTGCATTTGCTACTTGTATGTATATATTATATGTATGTACTCGTAAGTAAATGACGCACACCAGCATACCTTGCAAGGCGGTGCATAAGATCCATAGACTAGATTTCGTATATTTTGTTATGTAGGCGCCATCGTCCATCATATTGAAATTCGCGGTGCCATTATAATTGGCATTTGGTGCTTTTTCTTCGGTGAAAAGCCACTGGGGACCAGCGATGGCCGCCATTACGATGGCAACTGAAATGCTGAAAAAAAAAATAGAACAAAAATGTATATAATTATTTAAAAATATTGTTAAATACTACAATGCGCCATAACAATTCATTATTTCGATTTTTGAAAACCAATTAAAATTTTCTAAAGAAATTTGTTATTTTGGCTAAGCTTTTCTGAAAACTTTCTTTGGAAGGCTCGTGAAAGCACAAATTGATGAGAAAAATAAGTATATTGTTGTTGTTGTTTAAACGGTTACTCCACTAAACTAGATTAATACTGGACACATCACGGGCTTGTCCGTAGGCTGATCAAACTTATGGGAGTACCATGTAAATGCCAGTTCACCACCGTGTACGTAAGACGGCGCACGTAAACATTACTGTGAGTGATATAGATTTCGACTTTCGCAAGAAGTTCGAGCCGAGTTGCCGAGATTTTACAAATCGTAGCTGTAGTTCTTGTGCAGCGAAGAACTGGAAGAAGTCGGCGAGATAGTAATATTCTAAAGTAATAACATATGGCACTGTGGTGCTATGTACTCTTTGGAAGCCATGCTGATGTACTGTTGTTCTGCTGGCCTCAGATGGAGGCGTTAAGGACGAGAGCAGCAAAGCCTCAATTCTCTTCTTTACTAGGAAAAAGTCAAGTACAAATTGAGAACCTGAGTGAGACATTTCGATCCCGCTGTGCGCTGGTTCCAGATGTTTTAGCATTAGCATGCTTATGCCGTCAAGGCCGATAAATTTGAATGATTTCGCCCTCCCGACAGCCCTTGAATACCTTCCGTAAAATCATTCAAGCATCACGCTGGTGCTTGGCAGTTTATGCAGGACGTCGGCTCACTTGAGGCTTTATTTTGTCTACCAAAGGGTCGCAGTGTAAAATATACCGCTAATTTTTGCAGATCCGAATGAAAATTTCACCAAGTCATGGCATTCCCTCGGGTTATACATTGATTTGCCTGTGCCTCAGAGCCTGGTTGCTTTATAGCGACTTACTTAGCGTTTTTTATGTCCAAAAAGAAATCCAACCAAAATGATAATTTTTATTCTAAAGTCTTTGAGCACATTAGAAAGGGAAAAACTCACATGTCTTCTTTAAAATACCAAAAAACGGCTTAAGTTTCCATATCCACACGTATCTGCAATCTCCTAAATACATACATATTCGTACGTAGTTGGATATTTGTGTATGTCTGTATGCAAAGGACTAAGAACCTTTTAACACAAAGTCATATTTTACAATAGTTCACTTTTGCTTTTTCATAGCGCGCGAAACAGAACAGAAAAGAGAAAAAAGTGAAATTGCAGTAAGTGAACGTTTGTCTGAGTATGTGGAAAAAGAATGTGAAAACCAACATCGTTTTTTATTTACGCCTCTCGCCTCGTTTTTTATGAATATGTTATTTCTGTAACTGGAACAAGGGAGGTGACGCTACACAAAAAAAAAAAAGGAGAAAGGCAGAAAAAAGAAAAGTGGTGTGGCTGTGCGTTGGATTTATTCCATTTTTGTTGATTTTATTTCACACCGCATTATAAAACTATATACATATGTATGTATGTATGTATGTATGTATGCAAATATGTATGTAAGCTCTTCACAACTTTCATCGCTTTAATTAATTATCTCTACTCAGAGGACTTCATTGAGATTTAACCTAAACCCATATTATATGTACGTGTATATACACACAAATATACAGTGCATTTAGCGGTTTTTGTGTTCGACTTTAGATTTTTTATGTAATATTTGAAGTGGGAAAATGTCATGAAGGAAAAAAGCTTATCGTTTAAAATTATAAAATATCTAGATAATTAAATACTGTTATTTATCAACGACAATTAAAATGCAAAATATCAAATGTCAATTGAGCAAAAAATTAAAAAAATATATTCAAATCGATTTCGATCGTATTAATTAGCGTTTGGTATAACTGCAAAAGAGCTTCACTTATTGATTTCCAGCACATTTATATATGTATGTAGGAAGATGTGCGAATTTGCATTTAAGGTTTTACGGAATTTCATGGGGTTGCTCTATTTGCTAGGAGATTAAGGAGGAAAAATAATGTTTTTATAGCTCGAACAATTTTTTTTATTAATAAATATGGGCATTGTTCCATGAAAGACCCATCTAAAAATCTTTTGAGGTAAATTTCGACCACTTAATGGCACATATAGGGTGGTGCCTCAGCCATAATGAGATGAGTTGAGGATTCTTGAAGATCCGTATGAACGGCACTGTAAATGATCTGCTGGCTTCAGTTGTAGTAGCGATACTCGAGATGGAACAAGCAAACCGATGCTTCACAGGCCTTTCAATATTTGTAACCGTTTCAGTTCCTTTAAATTTCTTTAAAATTTCACCAGTTGCTTGAGGAGTTAGACGATTATATGCACCAGAGATTATTTTAAAGCACAAAACGTGGCCACGTTTAAATCACCATTTATGTGTAGAAAAGTAAAATTACTTTTGAGACCACGAAATGGACTACCCTATTTGTAATTGATTTTCTTTATCGCACAGGAAACCATGAATCTTCGGTAAAACCAACTCACCGACTGTTGTCTATCATTCTGCACCATAAAGTACGGGAGAGATTCTGTTTAATAGGCAGGCATTGCTGGTTTTCAGATAGACGAAATCGTCACCAACTTGACTGTCAAGGTAGCATGCCCACCAAGTTGGACTTTTGGATGTTGAAATGAACCCACATGAAACATAACCTCCCGCCTAACTGACCGAGGGTCATGACAGAAGGACAAACCTAAAATTCAGCAGATAGGTAACCGAAAACTAGGTACAGGCTGGACAGCCCTGCACTCATTAGCTGTTACCAATGGTTCTGTTGATAAATGCTTTAAATATTTTTGCCTGTGTCTAGCGGGGTTGGAAAGTGAAAAGCCCGTTGTATTGGGCAAAGACTTAGTTGTTGCGTGACTGCGCTCATATTAAGCCAGAAGGTTCAATCAATTCTCTTCTCCAATGAAGTTTTAAATAAATTTGATTAGAGAGGGGCAAGATGACTTTGCTTCTACTCATTCAACAGACATTGCCGGCATTACATATTCAGTAAGAGCTTCAGACTATCTGGAAGACCCCCCTGTTTCTGGAGTGAGTGGAAAGATAATAGTAATAGAAGCCGCCATTAGGACAGTATAAATGATCTCTTAACTGATGTTGCAATTGATTAACTTGAAATTCTATTTGGTAAACTGGAAGTCTGTACTCGGACTGTACAAAGGAATATTGACAGAAAGTCCCACAATCGACTTATTGCATTAACTTCACTTCAAAGCTCACACTATTTGGAGAATTTTCAATACTCTGTACGGGACCGGAAGCAAGCTGTATAATATAGAGGCTCCTAGAAAGAATTCAGGAACGGCATTCTGAAGAGCTTGCCATGAATATATGACGGTCACATGGAAAGATCGATGGCCTTTTTGCTAATATTAATTTTTTTTTATTGGCGATTAATCAATAATTTTATATTAATAATTTTTATAAAAATAATTGCAAACAAAATTGACTAATTACTAGATCGCACATTCCTAGAAATAATAATTAACTAATCCAACTGCACTTGCGTCGCCTTTTTCTACGCATTTTTTCTCGCTTTTGCTAGTTTTTCAATTCAACAAAAGTAAAATTTAGTCAATTTTCATGCTTCCAACACTGCTTTTCGCCACATCCCAAACTAAACTAATAACTTTGTCCAAAAAAAAAAAAAAAGTGAATAAAAATTTGTCCACTCACCTGGCGGCAACAGGTGTTAGTATCCACAAATAGCCACCGTTGCCATAACGTTGCTGCATACTATTGTTATTGTTACTACCACCGTTGTTGCTGTTTTTGTTGTTGTTATTGGCATATTGTCGCATACGTTGCTGCTGGTAGTGACTCATCCGGCCGCCTGGCCTCGTTACGAGAAATTCTCTAGACTTATTCATTTGCTGCGGTTGAATTCCATTTAATTTATTCGATTTCGAGTTCAGAGCAGTAGCAGCGGCAGCAGCACCAGCCGAGGCCGTAGTCGTGGTGAAGCCGCCATTCAAATCACTTGTTAGCGACGAGTTGCTTTTGCCGTTTCCATTGCCGCCGTTACCGTTACCATTGTGGTCGGCTGCCGTAGGGAGGCTACCTGAAATCGTGTTAATGACACCGGATGCGGTAATGCCATTCAAATCCCGATTATTTCGGCCGTTGCTGTTGTTGTTGTTGCTGCTGCTGCCACTACAGTTGCGTTGAAAAGCCATTGTCGGCTGGGCGGAGCGTGGTAGTGTGCCATAAAGTGATTGTTGAGCTCTTTGCTGTTGTTGCTGTTGTTGAAATTGTTCCCGTCGACCAGTCTGCGTGATGCTGCCGCCGAAAGTTGTTCGTTCAATTGACGCCGATGCGGTGAGTTTATGTGGCTGCAATGCATGATTGTGCAACATAGCAGAGCTCGTAATGTTGCACGACTGCATTGTTGTGTTGATGCTGCTGTTATTAGTGTTAGTGTTATTGTTGTCGCCACTATTGTTGCTATCGTTCGGCACAGTTGGTTGCTGTGCGCACTTTAAATCGCCGACTGAGCCGTTGGCACGGATGTTGTTGGCGTTGTGTGCTGCCGCTGTTGTTGGTGTAGTTGCCACATTTGTCAGTGTTGATGTATGAATTAATATTTTGGGTTTTTCCTGTTGGTTTGTTGCTGCTTGTTGTTGCTGTTGCTGTGTTGGTCCATCACCATTTTTATGAATTTGCGGTTTTGTATTCACATTTTGTGTGTGGTTGCATGCAATACGAAATACATTCGGCACTGTGGTATGCTCGCGCATAATAATTCAACAAAATTTCTTCTCGAATCACTTAATCACCTCCTACACGTAAGCGCGCACGCATACAAGTACATTCACTCGATAAAGTCTTTAATATGTGTAAACTGCTTATTAAATGCACTTGAATCAGTGTTGGTGCTTAATTATGTACGTGTATGAAGTGCTGGCGCCGTGAAATATGCAATGATTTATTTTTGCACAGAATTAGTGTTTTTTGTTGCTTCATTTGGCAGTTAGTGTTCAGTGAAATTAGCTTAACTTTGTAAATTAAAAACTAAACAGTTAATTATCCATTTAGTTTTGGCAAACGTTTTGTAAATATTAATTTTTGCGATTTAATATTCATGAGTTAGACACTTTTGAAAATCCTCCTAATTTATCGCTCTTAACAGACTTAGCACTTAAACTTAAAATAATACATTTTGCGGCTTTAAAGTGAAAATTGCATTAATTTTTTCAAAAAATATTTTGTTTCTTTTACAGAAGTACCAATTTTACCCTTTGCTTGGACACTCTTTTCTTATATAAATGCATTTTATGTTTATTTAGTTTCAAATCAGAAACATTATTTTCGATATTAAAAGTGTCGAACATGGCTTTTTTGTGTACTCTTAGGCGCACTATATGATGGCCGAATATAAATTAATTTTTTCTAAATATTATATAAGAAAACGTGAGAAACGCTTGGCAGAGAAATCACCTCACGTACAAACAACGTTCTTTACGATAAACATTTTTCTATAAATTTTTTTAGAAAAACCAACCTAAGCAATTGACAAAACAAATGAAGAAGTCGCCCTGTATGGGTGTATTCCAGCATGGCAGAGTTGAGATCATTGCTCTCACATGGACTCAGCGTCTCATCGGTGATGCTGACAAGAATCAGGTTGCCGTAGTGTTGATTGGGATGAAGAAAGCTTGGAAAATATTGTCATCATTGTGTCCGCGTACTTCTACGATGCTAAACGCCGTCTGCACACAGGTTTTGAACTCAACCACTCAGAACAGTATTAACATTCATCCATTGTTCAAACGTGTCGATTTTTAGAACTTTTTCCAAACGCAAAATAGCCCCCGAACAAGTCAGTCAATGGCAAAGGAGCTGTAGCTTACGGTACTGCTATCCAAGCTGCTAACTTGTATGGTGATAAATCGTGGGAGGCACACAACTTGTGGCATCGTGTTTAATTTTTCTAACCAAGAAGTCGCAGACTATCACAATCTACTCAGGTAATCAACCTGGCGTGCTGATTTAACTACATGAAGGATGGTATTTGACAGCTTACATTATTTCATGTTAAGATGCTTGCCAGCATCGATAATTCCAAGAGTTTTGAAGAGCCAAAGCAGTAAATAAATTCACCACGCTTCAAATTGAATGGTCTCCCTGCCGAACTTCACATTTAAATGACCAAGGACGAAAAGAAGGAATATACCAACAACAAAGAATATCAGCTTACCATCACTAGCGACAAGGGCCGTCTATCGAAAGAACACATCGAACAAATGGTCAAGAAAGCCGAGAAATACTTTTTATACTGCTTTAACATGAAGGTTACATTGAAGGAGGAGAACACGAGTATGAAGACCAAGATCTCGAAGGCCCACCGCAGTACCATTTTGAACAAGTACTGGGTGGCTGAGAAAGAGGTAAATGAGCATGTCAAAAGAAATCGGATGCTTCAAGTAGTATACACGGTGTCACGGTGTCAAGTGACTTTCCAGGGGTGGTTTTGTTGCTGACGTGGGCATCATTTTCGAGATAGACAGTCTTACGAAGATCGCAAACAAAACACATAAACTAATTCCATTAACAACTAAATACTTGTTCATGCTGAAGTCATTGTAAACAATTTTCTATTCAACTTATCTCCCTCCCCTCATCACGCACCAATCCTTCTTTAGCCGATCACTTAACGGCGGACGTTTCAAAAAAAAAAAAAAAAAAAAAAAAAAAAAAAAAAAAAAAAAAAAAAAAAAAAAAAAAAATATTAATTGGTCATTTTAATCTTTACTGTGTCGAATTCATTCAAAATACTAGTTTGAAAGGTCCTTAAAGGTTTGAAATGTTCCAGAAACTTATTCTACGAAAAATAACAAAAACAAAAATTTCCTTCTAAAGTAAGTAAAATTTGGGTAGACCTAAATTGTATTGATGAAAGAGTGATTTAAATGAAAAAGTAAAATATTTCTGCAAAACTTTTATATCCTTAAAAATTCTTGGAATCTATTTTTTGGAAAAGAAGACCCCAAGTATAACATTCGAAATTGTACCCCAAGAAAAAATGCATCTTTTTAATACTTAAAATGTGAAAAACTAAATAATTTTGCTTAAGGCTTAAAGCTCTATTTCCTTTTCTTTTACCCATCCTCGGGTTGACCTAATTTTAATGTTGTCCAAATTTGGGTGTATGAACATGTGAGCACTCATCAATCCTGATGGGACAAGGTGGTAGGCGCTTCCCTCTGAAAACCCAAATCTGGCGGGAATGAAATCTAAATAAGACATATCAAACTCCACAATTTTTAAAGACATGGTTTCCACGAAAGTTCTGGTCCCAGGAAGCTTTTACTGATTATTAAGTTTCCACCTCAAATAGTTGGGTTAACAACTAATGTATATACCCACACTGCGGAAGTAATTCTCGGCAGAAGTACATATCTAAATTGGGGTGTGCGTCTTGATATTTTCCTTATAAATGGACGAACCTACAGTTTATTCTAAGCCGCCACCAAACGGCTGTTGGATTTTTATTAGGAACATTTATTTCCTGTTAGATTTACACGCGGAGCGCTTGATATTCCCTGCTGAGTGGTGATTGCAATTAGAAAAATTCATTTTCAATCCAAAAGTGAATCCAAAATAGTTTCACAAGCTGCTTAAGACAATGAAACTGAGATGCGAAATATGCCATGAATGCTTTCACATGAATGAACCTTCAATGTATTGAAATGGAAATTCTAATCTATTGTTAATCTAAGTATGACCCCTCCATGTCACTTGAGAATGTAGTTCAATCCTCTTATATATATATATTTTATGTACTAATGTGTATTATCACTATATACTCGTACGAAATATGTACGCCAGCATTTGCAGAGGCTATTCACCTTCATATTCACATGCATTAAATTACATTAGCAATCAAGAATGCAATCAAACACGTGTGTTGAGTCCTTAACTGTAATTAGATAGAACTAAAGTAAAATGTGGAGCGTAAGTAATTAACGTGAATGATGCTTGCTGAGCTCGGAAGCTGAAGGGGCGAGTAAGTGGGCTGCTTACAGTGAAGTGTCTTCGCTAAATAACTCGTTAGATGAATGCTGTGCCGATTTCTGACAGCCACACATACACAAACGCATACCTAAGCACATTCATATATCGGCAGGGAATACCTAAGCACATACACATACACATAAGCTTTGCATCGCTGCCATGTCCTTTCACATTCAGCGTCGAAGCGTATGGAAAAAGACTGAGAAGTTTAGTTAATTAAGCTTGCAAAATATTTAAAAACATTTCAGCTGCACATAATTAATTGGCTGTAACTCTAAGCTACTCGCAAAAAAAAAATTAAATGAAATCACTACAAAATTATTATTTATTTTAAGTGTATAATTTTCGTGATTTATAAACGTGCGCTTAGAATAAAATTAACGGAAATTAAATCTTCCTTTTCAACACTTGGGCCATTATTGCTCTATTATTATTTTGAAAACACCTGTATGCGAGTCCATTTATTTATATAAGTATGTGTATGTTGTATAATATCGTATAAAGCGCCAAATGTGTCGCGACACAACGCTTAGTAAAAAGCACAGCTGTTTTCCGCTTTCCGTTTCCGGCTTCCGCTACGCGCTCAATTCACATTTTTCATTTTTCATTTTTCATTTCTCACTTGCCACACGCGTCAGCTTGCAGCTACATACAACTAGAAAGGATTTCACCTGCCCGTTACGCCGGCGCATGTGTAGGTAGTGCTAGTGCTAGTATTCACATCTATGCAGCAACACAAGCACACACTCACAATGGCTTTACTTAACACTAGTCAACTTCTTCCGGGTTCACACGTCCGCTGCGTTGTAATGCCGTCGACTGACTGATGGTAGAGTGCTAAAAGGATTCGAGATGTTAGTTGATGATGCTGTGAAAAGGATTTAAGTGGAACTTGCAACATGTTTGATGTTGCCACTGAAACATGACATATTTGTACATACGCAGCTTAAATATTTTTGTGCCACACACATACACAAGTATGCAGAGGTGTAAAAAAGCGAAAGCAATTGCGATGAATATGTTGCATGCAACAACATTACCCAAGCGTGCAATTTTGTTTGACCAACAGGCAATATGTTTTATTGCTTGCTATTCGTGTTTGGCTCTGTGCGTTTATATACATACATATGTATGCAAGTACCAGTATATATTTATACAATTAAGTTTGGTTGCACACATGCACATAATCAATTGCTTACAATTGTTAACACCAAAGTTGGCGAGTGAAGTCATGTCAATAAATGCATGCATTAGGGTGGTTGGTAAAAATTTAAAAACATTCAGAGCTCTAGATGATTGTACTTCAGAAGAGATAGGAAGGAAAGGAAAATCCGTAGGAGACTTGACAAAAAAGCGAAGCGAACGTGACTGTTGGTGAACGAGAATAAAACGAAATATCTCCTGCCATCAAAAAAACAGTCCGCGCATTTACGGCTTGACTCCCTCGTCGCTGTTGACAGTTATAACTTCGAGGTTGTGGATAACTACGTCTATCTAAGACCACCATTAGCACCAATATCTTATGAGTCGACGTTGGGAGTTTTCAATAGAAAGCATCTGTGTGAGATTTATAGTACTCTGCGCGTTGGGACCCGCAAGATTGCCATGGTTCAGCGAATCAAGAGACAGCGGCTACTTTAACTAGTTCATGTAATTAGAACCATTTTATTCTACGCAGTCCCTGCCTTGTGGCTAGTAGTCGGAAAATCCACCAGCAGGAACAAAATGGAAAGAGTTCAGTGGTCGGCAGGTATGCTCTTACGCGAGGGCTTCAAAAGCGCTGAAAACTCTTCTCAATATTCTTCCTCTGGACCTGTACGGCAAACTTCAACAGGGTCAGAATCACGGACAGAATAAGAAAACACAAAGTTGGTGAGCTCAATTTCCCAGTCTCTGTTAAATTTGTACACAGTTTTCTTAGATACATTCCTGATGACTGAACAAAACAGTATAATTTGGAAATTTATTAAATTTTTTTTAAACATTTCGA